TTGTAGCCCCCGGTTACACACTACATGCACTTGTACCAGCTATACTAGTTTTGGTGGTCCCAGGCCCTCGTAATGTCTTGAAGGATCTAATTGAAATAATAAGAAAATAATTCTATTACAAAATGAACCGAGAAATTAAAAATGAAAAATAATTTTTATTGTATCAACTAAATCTAAATGACAATTCAATTTTAATATATTTTCTGCAGCTTATAAGTTTAATATTACGAAGAATCTACGTAAATTTTCTTATACAATTGCTATTAACCTTCGTAATTATCACTTTCTATATAAGATAAAATCGTTAGAGATGTTAGAAATAGAAAATGTAAACAAAAAATGAATAGATCTACCTACCTTCGATGTAAACCTCATTCTCATAATCATCATCATCATCATCATCATCATCATCAACATTTTCTGTATATTATGAATCGTTAAGGTTCGAAAATATATATAAGAAAATTTATAGGCAAAAATGAAAATATCTACCTTCACCTTTACCATTTTTGAACCATTTTATTAAAGATTTTACATTACTCGCATTTTCATTCTTTGTGTAAAATGATGTATGAAAGGGAAGTAATAAAATTTCTCCTCCGATAATATCGTTAAGAGTGGAGAATCGCTTGTAAGCAATTTTGTTATAATTTTTGAGAATTGAAATATTATTGTCTTTGGTTGAAACAAGGTAATTTCCTAAAAGTAAAAATTCTGCTCTTTTGTGAAGAACGTCATCAACGCTACAACTTTGTTTTAGGGCAGCCGTTTGTGGTTTAGGTTTAAGCCATTTTTCACGAAATTGTGTAAGAAAATTTTTTTTATCACTTGTATTCAAATATTCACTTTTTAGTACATTATAATTAATTTTAATAATGTTTCTTGATCTCAGAAGGCGTTCTCTAATTTGATCGCAAGTGTTCAATTCAGATTTTGTAAGTTTTTTCTTCCACAATTTATTAGAGATTTCCTTTTTGTTTTGCTTATTTAGTTTTATAATTTTAAAACCCTTCTTTTCAACCTCTTCGACCTTTTAATAATACAATTATGGTTTAATTTTAAATAATAAAATTATGGTTTAATTTTAAATAATAAATTGAGTTTTTTT